GGCAATGACTAACTTGAGACCATAATGCAAAGTATAAACCAAGGGCTTCTTTCCTTGTATTCTTTGCCTTATATTTCCTGGAAGTGATTTTCCTCTGACATTTTATCAGCCAGTCACTGCATACTGTGAGATCATTCCCAATGGAAAAGGTGAAACCACTGGGAAAATATGTCACTTCACAATCTAATAAAGTCCCACATCATCTCTGACTTCCCTGAATAATGCATGCCTGAACTCATTGCTTATTAAGGGTCTTTCTCCCTCACTAGCTTCCAAGTTTTTTTAGATCCTTCCCTGGGGAATATTATATATTTTCAGAAGTATGTGACATATATCAATCAAATCATTATAACACATGGACAGATCAACTCTTTCAAAGAATTTTTGGCAAAGGATTCTGGCTCCTGCTGTAAAAGACAATAAAAATATTTTTATAAATACATTAGCAATAAGAAGTAGCTAAGAAGAACCTCCATCCTTTACTACATGTAAGAGGGAACATTGTGTCAATGGATGAGGAAAAGGCTGAGGCACTTAGTGCCTTCTTTACCTCAGTTGTTAATAGTAAGACCAGTTGTTCTCAGGCTACCCAGACCCCTGATCTGCAGGACAGGGATGGGGAGCAGAAGGAAGCCCCCATAACCAAAAGGAAAGTGGTCAGCAACCTGCTACAACCTGATACACACGTCTATGGGGCCGCATGGAATCCACCCAAGGATACTGAGGGAGTTTTTGGAAGAGCTCACCAAACCCCCTTCAATCATTTATCAGCAGCTCTGGCTAACCAGGGAGGTCCCAGGCAACTGCAGGTTGGTAAATGCGACACCCATCTCCAGGAAGGGCCAGAAGAAGGATCTGGGGCAGTACAGGACTGTCAGCCTGACCTCAGTGCTGAGGAATGTTATGGAGCAGATCATCCTGAGTGCCATGACACAGCATGCAGAGGACAACTGGGTGATCAGGCCCAACCAGCAAGCATTTATGAAAGGCAGGTTCTGCTTGACTGACCTGACCTCCTTCTGTGACAAGGTGACCAGCTAAGTGAATGAGGGAATGAATGGCTGTGGGTATTGTCTACCTGGACTTTAGTAAAACCTTTGACACTGTCTCCCTAAGCATCAAGTCAAAACAACCTTGTGCAGTGCTACAGAATTCGGGCAGAGTGGCTGGAAAGATGCCCAGTGGAAAAGGACCTAGGATGCTGGCTGACACCCAGCTGAACATGAGTCAGCAGTGTGCCCACGTGGCCAAGAAGGCCAATGGCATCCTGGCTTGTATCAAAAACAGTGTGGCCATCAGGACCAGGGCAGTGATCCTGCCCCTGTACTCGGCACTGGTGAGGCCACAGCTGAAATCCTGTGTTCATTTTTGGGCCCTTCATTACAAGACAGAACTTGAGGTGCTGGAACTTGTCCAGAGAAGGACAATAAAGCTGGCAAAGGGTCTAGAGAGTAAGTCAGATGAGGAACAGCTGAGGGAGCTGGAGTTGTTTAGCCTGGCAAAAAGGAGGCTGAGGGGAGACCTTTTTGCTCTCTACGACTAACTGAAAGGAGGAAGGACGTTGTAGTGAGATGGGATCAGTCTCTTCTTGGAAGCAGCAAGCAATAGGACAAGAGGAAATGACCTCAAGTTGCTCCAGGGGAGATTCAAATTGGATATTAGGAAACATTTCTTCACTGAAAGGGTTGTCAAACACTGCAACAGGCTGCCTAGGGAAGTGATGGAGTCACCATCTCTGGCTGTATTTAAAAGATGTGTGGATGTGTCACATAGGAACATGGTTTAGCGGTGGACTTGACAGATGTGGGTTAAGGGTTGGAGTTGACCTTTTCCAGCCTAAAATATTCTGTTTCTATGATGGTCATGTTAGTTCTTCAGTATTTTGTCATACTTATTCATAGTACATAACTACAAATTCTGCATTTTCCCAAAAAGCGAAGTTGAACTAACTGTTCTGCAACTCACTGCATGTTCATTTGCATCTCTTTGAAAAAACTGAACATCACATCTGTCACTTATTACTCTGGTACAGAGACAATTTAACTGTTGCATTGAAGTAGAAAGCTTAACATTTTTCTTCTTGAAATACCTAAGATCTCTTGCAAGCATACTAAACAGTCTTGACAATTTGTTGTTATCTACTCTTTGATTCCTTTTTTTTCCCCCTGAAAACTCTCCTATTGTTAGTTTAACTTGGAATAGTGGTTCAGACTGCAAAGGAAGCACATGTGCAATGAATTGAGCTTTTCTGTTTTGCCAGTGCCCTCCCTGTACACTTCTATACTTTGAACATCCACTGGCCCCTCAAGCTCTATAAAATGATGTAATTGAAAAAGAATATATTATCATGTGACATGACTTCTGCAAATTTCTTTTCCTCAAAGTTTGCCTTGTCCTTTCTTATTACAGTTTTAGATTTGATGTTGTGGGACTGATTTTTTTCAAAGGGGCATTCACTGGTCTGATAATGGTTTCCATTTTGTGAAATTTTTCTTCCTAATTCTAATTTAGTTTTTTTGTGCAACTGTGCATTTTTTTTTTCCTTTTCAAGTTAGGGTTTCTTCGATTTACTTTGAAACAGAATGATGTACCTTTTCACAGGAAAGCAGGCTGCAAGATCTAGTTGTGTCAGAAAACTCTTTGTGACCTAGCAAACCAAGTGCCTCTAGATTGATGTGAAATGCAAATAACTGTAAGAACCTGTAGAAAAGTATTTTCAGTCAAGCTTTGCTATGGATCCAGTGATGTAGGCACTGATTTTCAGTTTGGGAAACACTACGTTTATTTTGTCTTATTGCTTTATTTAAATGCTACAGAAATTAATTTTTCTTCACTGTGATTTTAAGTTGCAAGTGGTTTCCCCTACAGAAAGCTGACAGCTTCTAAGCATTTTTCTTGTTTCCCTGTCATAATCTATTATAAAAAAGGTATAATCTAGACAGCCTGTATTTTGTTTATGGAATGACAGGAAACACAGCTCAAAACACATGCCAAGACAGAATCACAGAATATGCTGAGCTGGAAGGGACCCACAGGGATCATTGAGCCCTACTCCTGGCTCTGCACAGGATCATTCCCAAGAGTCACACCATGTGCCCAAGACTATCATCCAAATGCTTCTTGAACTCTGTCAGGCTTGGTTCTGTGTCTACTTCCCTGGGGAGCTTGTTCCAGTGCCCAACCACCCTCTGGGTGAAGAACCTTTTTCTAACACCCAACCTGAACCTTCCTTGGCACAGCTTCAGGCCATTCCGTCGGGTTTTGTTAAGGGAATCAAGAGAGAACTTTTTAGAAGAGAGATGAGAGACACACAGAAGCTACACACTTGATAGAGTAGAAGCAGCATGCTCTCTATAGGCTTTGAAATAAATATCTCTGCATCAAAGGAATGCTTAACCTTCCCAAAGTCTTCTGCCTAACAGAGATAACCTACTGCCCAGGCTAGAGACAGAGGGCTTTCTGAAACTCATTACTGGCGTTACTACTATTGTGCTGATCTAATGTATATGAACATTAATAACTGGTTGTTGACATTTGTCAAAAAACCCTGCTTGAACAGTACTTAAGTCTTAACTCTGAACTACAGAAATAAAATGGCAAAATTAGAAACTTTTTAATGTCATGTTTATTCATTGACGTTGTTCTACCATAGTACATTTGTCTGCATATTTCAAGGCTGTACAAAGACTGGTCTTAATCCTTAATACCTATTAACAGACTAACCCATTTTAGTCAATAATTTACCCCTCCTGCAACCAGAGATCAGATATATACCATGAACATGAGCAAAGAAATAAAATAATGATAGATGTTGTGAAAATGAGAACAAAAAACATAGATAAGAAAGAAAACCAGGAGAAAAATAAACATGTTCATTATGAATGTGACTTTGAGTATTGTGTATCTTAATAGGTGAAAACAGCTCTTTATAATATTGTGGCTATACTAACCATAAAGCAGATGAGAGAGTACCAATGTTGTAGTACTGGACAGTCTGGGAACAGAAGGGGTTATATCAAGAGACACGGCAAGCGTCACTGATGGGATATAGGTGTTACTGGTAGGGTGCTTGATCCTACAAACAATACTGGAATGGCTCTTACTACCATGGGTAATCTCCCAGGTACAGACAGTAATGGTACAGACACTGGCACCAGGAGGAGATGGCTTGTGCTTTCTGCTGCCTGGGGACTTCTAGAAGCTAGTTTAGGTGCAGGCATAGGCTAGAAGTAGTCTTCTGAATGCTCTGAGCTATATATCTGGTTCACAAACATTGGCTCCTGGGCACTGAACTGCAGATCAGATTTACCTCTTCTTTTCTTAGACCAAGTTCTTAAAACCTCTAAGGTTTGCCCTGGAATGAGTCTGAACTGTACATTTCACAGAAACAGTGGGTAGGCCAGTATATATCTGCAGGGGGAAAACACACCCTCTTTGAGACCCACTTGCAGCAGGCAAGCGGGGACAACAGCTGAAGGGCAACGATGTATTAGACCCACTGGACAACAATGGTACTATGCAAGGTAGTGAGCGTTATGCATGCTAAGGTCTATGCTAGTTACAAACTTCATGTTGGTAGGAGAAGGGACACAAGTAATAGAGTAGCATAACTTGTACCCATTTGTCAGTCAACACAAAAAAAATGTGAGAAGGCAGCCATGAGGGAAGAAGCAGATATACACAACTCTCTCCACCCGCGTGATCTTCAGCTTCCCTGCTAGAAAATGTGTCTATGCTGTTAGTATCACACAGGCCTATTTTGTCCCAGAGCTAATGACAGTTCTGCCTGAATGAAACCTTCTTAAAAAAAAAAAAAAAAAAAAAAAAGCAAGGCCCAAACAAACATGCAACTATGACAACTTAAATTGGTGAAGAGTCTCATCTACAGTGAATAACATCAGTTAAGAGGCAGAGAGCCCCTCTGTAGCCATGCCATACTCATCAGGTCAAATACTTGATTTAAGAGTGCTTATCAACACATACGTAATATGTACATTAACTTAATCTCTTCTCAGAGGGTTCACAATTTTTCCCATGAAAAGTATATTGCTCTCCATAGTTATGACGATTAGGAATGGCCTCTCGAATTTAATGATAAGTGGAACGGACATAGGCACTATTTCCATGCCTGTGGCAGCTGCTGCTTCGGTGCCAGTCTCATCCACCTTTATCACAGCCTTATGAATAGCCTGTGAAGAAACAGACATGTTACAAGTCAAGGAGGTACAAAAATAGTCACCTGAATAAGAATGTGACCTAAAAGTGCCTGAAGAAGTTATTGGTAAGAAACAAGCATCAGATGGACAGGTGTGAGTCCACTGCATAAAGACAGCAAAGTGGAAAAAGAATCACCAAGCTACATGCAGCACAACTTTCTAGTCCCAGACAGGAAAAAAGTTTGTTTCCGGAGAAGGTGCATGTCCCTGCTAGTCAAAACATTTGCTTTGTTTCTTTTCTTATTGCCTGCACCCACTCATGGAGATCTTTACAGCTAGACCAAATGTTAGGAGAGTGAGACTGTATTTAGCTGTCTATTAAAAGTTCACATAGCTGAAGAAATAACATGCAGACTAGCACAATTAATAAAATTCTGAAAATATGTTTCCTATGTTTCTTCATGTCTTGGAAATAATGGTAGCAAAGGAGAAGAGCCAGAATTGGAGGGCTAGAGCAGAGAAACATATAAGTTTTACCTTGCAAAGTCAAGACATTGGCAGATCCTGATTCACTAATGTCCTCCTGAGGTCATGAGGGTAGTTGTTTTCTTCATATTAGGCAATTAAAGTTGCGCTGATTGCCAGCTTTAAACTCTGAGTTCATTGAAGTATGACCTGTCTGTAGCTTTTACCTTGGCCTGACACTAATGAGAGTCATTGTTCATAGGCTTGAAGCCAAATGTTTATCCTAATTGCATTTTCCTTTCCCCTAAACAGTTTAAAAACAAGCAGTCTTTTTCCTCTCCCCTCCATAAAACACAAGTGGTGACACATCCTATAGCTCTGTGCTTGCCCCACAATCAGGCTAAAGACAAACACAAACAGAAGCAGCAGTGACTGTAACAGCACAGTGCAGGAGGGTACTGAGGTGTGGATAGGTGGCGATTTGGTCACGTCTGTTTTATAAGGTTGCCCCATGTAGATCAAAATTGCATTCTAGATTAAAAAATTACAGACTTGTAACCTGCTCCAACCCAACTGCACTTACAGTGCATGGACAAAATACTCTGTATGCCAACAACTACCTTTTCATGTAAAGCCAAGCCTCTTTATGTGAATTTTGCATCACAAATAGTTGTACAAAAAGTGATGCAAGTATCAGTAACCATGGGCCATAAAACAAAAAGCAGTATGACTTACCTGGGAAATTCTATGCTGGGGCTGTCCAGTGATCCCAGAGAGGTCAGCCTTATCAGTGAATAGATCCATAATGCCCATTTTATATAAGGTATTTTTTAAGTCATATGTCCCGTAAAGAGTGAATTTCGGAAGATACAAATTTACTGAGCTGCCAGAAAAGAAGTACAAGAGTATAGTGAAACACTTGATCACATATCACAGAATAACATAGACTCACAAGGGAAACTGATTTTGCTTTCTCCCTCAAGATATTTTGCCTGCAGGCTCTCTCTAGCCTATATAGGAGATGTACACTGGCATTAATTTGAGGAGAAGAAAAGAAGATTTATAATATATCAGAGGTACTTTCCAACTCATCTGATTCTATGATTCCATGATTCTAAGGCTGGTTGAGAGGATAAGGCTGTAGTTAGTGGCTCTCTGTTTGCAGTAAGCCAACACATGAACAGTGAAATCGACCTAGTGATCATTCAGCACAATACAACTGTAGCTCCCTAAGAATCTTCATCTAACATTTTCAGAAGTTAAGTGATCTTTTGTGCAATCTGCTGGAAGCACCTTCATCATGATGCATTACTAAGGATGCAGAGGATTTACCTTGTGAAAAAGAGATTCCTTTATGTGTTTCAGGCACTGAGCACAAAAAAAAATCCAACACATGCAAGTTCACTGGTTACTTTTGGAAAAACAAAACAAAACAAAACAAAACCCATTGTCCTTGTGCATTTATCATGTAAATCAGGACAAAGAAAACAATAATATATACCAAAGAAGCAGGACAATGATAAATAGTGATAGAATGGATGACAAAGTAAAGGACAAAAGCACATTGACATAATATAGATAGTCAATACATAATTATTTTTCTCTGTCAAGCCCAATGTCTGACACTAAATTGTAAGTGTCTAGTTTGCTGTTTTCCATAAATAACACAAAGCTCTATATTTCTGATTCATTTCTTCCTTACTTTTTCCATATGGATCTATCGATTACTTTTCAAGGGTTAAACACAACATTTACAGCCAGAAGCAGAGTAATGAGACAGAGGTTAGAGACAGTGCTGACATTAGGAACTGTTTTCTGGTGAGAAACCACGACAGCTCTCCATGGCTCTAGGTCAGGGAGATGTGGAGCACTTAATGAAGCTAGCCAAAGAGCAAAACATCCAGCAGAGAGGCGGGAAGGAAAGGGCCCATACCTGAAGTGTTGCACAGCATTTAATGCCAAGTCTGGCTGGTACCCAAAAATGAAAGTGCTAGAGGATTGAAAATTGATTGCTGATCTCTCAGTTCTCCCTAATTTCAGTCTGTGCTGATTGCTGTCCCAAATGATGATGCAATTATCATTGAATCATCTATCTTACTGTTGTGTAAAGACACTCCTTCACAAGCCCCCACTTTCTTTCAATATGGAGGAAAGTGAAAGCCACAGCAACAATGCAATCAGGAAGGAACCACTGGGATGCACTTCTCAGAAGTGAAAATGATGTTTTCTCCACAGTTCAGCCATTAAATAGATCTCAGCTGCCTGTACTGGTGACACTTTGGCACTATCCCCTGTTTGGCAGACAACAGTAATGAAAAATGCCCCTCACAGCACTTCTGCAGCTCATATCAGTTTGCAGACATAGAAACAGGGATAAACATAGCTTGCCCACAGCCTTTGAATCATTCCATATACTACTTCAAACCCATTTATTAAGACCTCCCAGAGACAGCACATAACAGCAGAGGCAATCAACTGCTTTGAAAACTAGAGGTAAAAGGAGGATTTTGTGTCATTAGTTTGCAGGAGAGAATGGTCATCATGAAAAATGAGGAACAGCAGGAAACAAACTTGTTTTCAACAGGGATGCTTTTTTATATTATAAGATAGGAAACATAAATCCCCTCAATTTTATTTAGCATCTTTCTTGATAATTTTAAAGCTGATTTTGTGTCTTTGACAAAAATTATACATATGTATCTTGATTCACCATCTTATTTGTTCTATAGTCAAAAACTATGCAGCTGCTTCCAGAAGATTCAAAACTGTGAAGATGCACAGAGAACTGATTTTTTTTTCCCTGGTCTTTTTTTTTCCCCCAAATAAAAAAAAAAAATGTTTAGATTCTTTAGATTTAGATTTAACAGTGAACCAGTTAGGAGCATGACACTGGGTTTGGGTTTCTATATTAGGATGCAATTTCTCTTTTGAAAAAGAGTCATCTAAAATAAGTTTTTTCAAATGAGTATGTGTAAAGGTCACTAACTTGACACACCAAATTCGTTAATGAGCATAAGGGCTTGATACTATAAACATGTTTTACCTATGCTTGTAAAGGTATTTTGTCCCATGAAAGGCAAGTACCATACAGGACACTAAATATAAGGAGTCCTGTGTGGTAATTATTTTTAGAAAGCATATAACCTTTCTGCCTTCTAAGCTCAAAGTTACCTTGAAAAAAGTGTAGCTTGTTCCAATTTTGCCTTCCTAAGACCCCAGAGAGCCTAAATATAGTGTCTTTGCAAAGTGCTTTGCCCCCATAATTGCCAAATGGAAGTTGTTATTTCAGTATTAACTGTGAAATTATTGTTAATTTTAATACGTAGAAAGGAAGCAAGAGACAAGAAAAAATTCTGAAGTGGAAGGAATTTACTTGTAAATAGAAGAAGGCAGAAGACCTCCCCCAAAAACATGAGTAGAGGTACAAGTCCAAAAACAGGGGCCTATTAAGAGTTGAAGATGGGAAAAAAATTCAGAAATTAAAGAAATCCTAAAGCTATGAAGGTTTTCAGTGCATGCAGTACTGAATGTGAAAACACAGGGACACCAGAGAGCCAGATTCAACTTTGGTCAGTGGGAATCCTTCTGCTGATAAAGCAGAACTAAAAATGCTGTTCTGATTCTGTGTCATAGCCCAGCACATTTGTTTCCTTGCCTACCATGTGAACCAAGAACTTCAGAATTTTACCTTTTTGTGATTAATGACCTCCACCTTGACATATGTTCACAAGACAATCTTTTCTCCAGCTTCCTCATTCTTCCTTTGTCAGGCAGAATAAAAAATGCTGAAGCACCTCCTTTGTAATCCATTTGCACCACAGTGGAAGACAGCTGATCATCATAGCCATGCTTGAACAGGCCCATTCCAAACATCATCGGGACTTCAACAGCCTTGTTCCCATCCACAAAGAATTTGCTCATTTTAGTGTATTGTGGATCAAAAGGCTTTTCCCATTCAGCTTGAAATAGAAGAGATTGAGTTAGAAGATATTTTGAGGACATGAAACCATAGGATATATCACCACAGGACACATTCTTAGTTGACAGAAACTGGTACAGTTGGATCGGCTTCAAAGACAAATCAGTTCGCAATGATCTCTTGACCTTACTGAGTACTCAGAATAATTTAATAGCAACACACGGTAGAATGTGATGCAAAAAAAACTCCCTCAGATTTTGAAGTGGGCTGTAATATCCCTCATTTATATGACATATCAAGGGTTCTAAACTTGCACTTTTCCGCCATGACAACAGTTTTAAGGAGTCTGTAAAGCCCTCATTCTGTCTCTGAGCTCTGAAGAGGATTCTCCCCTTTCCTTGTTCCCAGATAAAAATGGGCTTGAGAAGGGTGATATGAGGGATGAATTCTCCACAGGAATTAAGGAGTTTGGGTTACTTTCAGAGACAAGGTGTTTATACTTCACATTAGCTAATAATATGTAGAGTCATGAGGAACTTAATTCTACCAGACTACTGGGTTAAAAAACAAAACAACAACAGAAACTTTTTCCACTGCATCCTCACAATATTAAATTTTACAAGGCTCCTCATTTAGTCATGGTGAAACAAACTGTCTACATTGGAACTCCAAAAGATTCTTATCCTCAGTGGAGAGAAATTTCTAAGCTAAGTTCCACCTATTCACATCATTCATTTCAGAAGCTGAGTAGATTTTAAAAAAAGGTGGGGAGTTTTGGAAAGGTTTCTTTGTTGTTTTTAATTTTCAGAAGTGTTTTTGGTCTGTAGTAAATTTTGCCTTTTAGAGCAAAACTAACATTTTATCAAATTTATTAGGTAAAACTAGAACTGCACTGCTTAGTAAAGTAACTGCCATCAAGAAAGCAATGAAACAAGATGCAATCACTTTTGATTTTTGACTTCTATTTGAACATTGATCATTAAGCAGCTTGTTACAAATGAAATAATTATTGTCTGCTATTTCCACCATCTGACATAGCCTGCACTTAGTATTTGGAAAAAGTGAAATGAGAATTTAGGGCATGTCTTGGACTCTGAAAGTATAGAGTGACAACTACCAATACTCTAAAGAGACAAAAGTTGATACTTTTATGTTTCTTCATTAACAGTGACTTCCATCATGAGATGTTGACTTCTGTCAACAGACAGGACTTCTACCTTATTAGGCTTAAGGGAAAAAATAAAGCAAAATTAATAACAGAAACATGAATGACACAAGTCCTGAAACATTTAAACAACCTTTATCTAATGCTCAACTAAGACAAAACACCCACTGATTTCACAAAGAACTTTTCTTGATTGAAAACAGAGTAGGATGTTAGGACTGCTGCTCTGGAATTCAGGAGAGCAGACTTTGATCTCTTCAGCAATCTGCTTGGTAGAGTATCATGGAATAAAGCCATGGAGGGAAGAGGAATCCAAGAAAGTTGTATTGGCCAAACAACCCCATGAAGCTGGAAGAGTTTCTGGAAAGTGGCCCAGCAGAAAAGGGCCTGGGAGTGCTGTTTGACAGCCACTGAACATGAGTCAGCAGTGTACCCATGTGGCCAAGAAGGCCAATGGCATCCTGGCCTTATCATCAGTAGCATGGTCATCAGGACCAGGACAGTGATTGCTCCCTTGTACTCAGCACTGGTGAGGCTGCACCTCAAATCCTGTTTCATTTTTGGGTCCCTTTCTACACAAAGGACATTGAGATGCTAGAGTATGTCCAGAGAAGAACAATGGAGCTCATGAATGGTCTAGAGAGTAAGTCTGATGAGGAACAGCTGAGGGAGCTAAACAGCTGTTTAACCTGGAGGAGGCTGAGAGGGGACCTTATCACTCTCTAGAAGTACGTGGAAGGAGGTTGCAGTGAAGTAAGGGTTGGCCTCTTCTTACAGGCAGCTAGCTATAGGACAAGAGGAAATACACTCAAGCTGTGCCAGGGGAGGTTCAGATTGGGAAGTAGGAAGAGCTTCTTCTCTGCAAGGGTTGTCAGGCATTTGAATGTGATGCCCAGAGACACGGTAAAGTCACCATCCCTGGAGATGTTCAAGAAATGACTGGACATGGCACTTAGTGCTGTGGTTTAGTTGATGTGGTAGTGTCCAGTCAAAGGTTGGACTCAGTCTTGGAATTCTTTTCCAACCTTAATGATTCTTTGATTCTATGATTCCATTAATATTCAAGGATAACCTCCATCAAGCACAGGAGTGATCTGTTCTAACAAAGAGGAAGTCAGGCAAAAACACCAGGAGGACTGCATGGATGAACCAGAAGCTACGGGGTAAAATCAAACACAAACAGGTAGCCTACAGAGGGTTGAAACAAGGACAGGTAACCTGGGAGGTATACAAAGAGATTTTCTGAGTATCCAGGGATTGGGTTAAGAAAGTTAAAGATGTGATAGAATTAAATTTGTCCAGGGACATTAAGGGCAACAAGAAAAGGTATGACAACGACAAAAGGAAGACTAGGAAAGATTTGAGCCCCCTCCAGAAGGAAACAGGAAGCCTGGTTACCTGGAATGTGGAGAAGGCTGAGGTACTCAGTGACATGTTTTGCCTCAGTATTCACTGGCAAGTGCACCAGCAACACCACCGAGGTCACAGAAGGCAAAAGTAGGGACTGGGAGAACAAAGAACTGCCCACTGTGGGAGAAGATGAGGTTCAAGACCATCTAAGGAATCTGAAGATGCATATGTTCATGGGACCTGATAAATGCATCTTCAGATCCTGAGGGAACTGGTGGATGAAGTGGTTATTAGGGAAGTTATGGCAGTCCAGTGAAATTCGTACTGACTGGAAAAGGGGAAAATAGCTCTCATTTTTAAAAAATGAAAAACAAAAAAGAAGATCCAGGAAACTACTAGTCTGTCCTACCTCTTTGCATGGCAAGATCACAGAGCAGATCATCCTGGAAACTATACTAAGACAGGTGGAAAATTAAGTGGTGACTAGTGACAGACATGACTTCACTAGGGCAAGTTGTGCTAAAGGAAGAATAATTGATGTTATCTAACTGGAGCTGTGCAAAGCATTTGACACTGTTCCACATGACATCCTTGTCTAAACTGGAGATTTGAATTTGACAGATGGTCCATTTCATGGATAAGCAATTGCCTGGATGGTTGCATTTGAAGGGCTGTGATCAATGGCTTGTTATCTAAGAGGAGACCAGTAACAAGTGATGTTCCTCAGGGTTGGATTAGGATCAGTGCTGTTCAACATCTTTGTTGGCAACACAAAGAGTGGGATTGAGTGCACCCTCAGTATGTTTGCCAATGACACCAAGATGTGTGATGCAGTCAACATGCTGTAAGAAAGGGATGTCCTCCAGAGGGAATGTATGCCATCCAATGGAAGCATGACAGGCTTGAGAGGTGGCCCTGCTGGAATCTGGTGAAGTTCAACAAAGCCAAGTGCAAGGTCCTGTATGTGGGTTGGGGCAGTTCCAACCACAAATACAGGTGGGGCAGAGAATGGCTCAAGTTGAAAACAGACCTGAGGAGAAAGGACGTGGGGGTGTTGGTTGATGAGAAGCTCAGCACGACTCAGTAGTGTGCGCTTGCAGCCCAGAAAGCAAACTGTGTCCTGGGCTACATCAAAAGGAGTGTGACCAGCAGGTGAAGGGATGGGATTTTCCCCTCTACTTCACTCTGGTGAGATCCCACTCAGAGTACTGCATTAAACTCTGGGGTCTCCAACATAAGAAGGACATGGACTTGTTGGAGCAAGTCCAGAGGAGGGACCATGAAGATGATCAGATGGTAGGAGCACCTCTTCTATGAAAACAGGCTGAGAGAGTTAGGGTTGTTTAGCCTGGGGGAAAAAAGGCTCAGGAGAGACCTTCTAGCCCCTTCCAGTACCTAAAGGAGGTCTACAGACAGGGAAAGACTTTTTACATAAGCAGATAGTGATAGGATACAGGGGAATGACTAAACTGAAAGAGAGAAGATTCAGATTTAGATTAGATATAAGGAAGAAATTGTTCACTGTGACGGTGGTGAGACACAGAAAGGGGATGCCCAAAGAAATTGTAGATGCCCCACCTCCAGAAGTGTTCAAGGGCAGGTCTTTGAGCAATCTGGTGTAGCTGAAGCTGTCTACAACCATGACAGGAGGGTTGGAACTATAAGACTATTAAGGTCCCTTCTAACCCAAACCATGACAATCACTTAACACACAGATTAGACAGAGAGGATATTCACTAATACTTTCCTCATGTTTCAAAGGAACATTTATTCTTATGCTCACCTCTATTTTAGGGATCTACCTTTTAGGAATGACACCTTTGTCAAAGGGGTTTTTGCCTATTTTGAAAGATGTGTCTGATGCTCAATAAAAGCCTAAGTGAAAACATTATTTGAGGCAAACAAGTATGTTTTCAAGAGAATTAAGAAACATCAGTCATCTGTAATTCATTCAGCTCCATTTAGCTCTGGTCAGATCTTCAGAGATTAATACAAGGAGCAGAGACACAGATGAAAAGCAAACAAACAAACAAATAAAAAACTAAAAAAACACCAAGAAATACAGTTCTTAATTACTTTCAAGGGAACCTTCATATTGGAGAGTGCAATCATCCAGATTAAGAGTTTTAAAAGAATAGCTTTTCCTTTTAAAAGAATCGTATTTCTAACATGTCATCTCCATTTCAATTAGAAAGCTTAATGGTATTTTATCAGATAGATTATAGGATATTATTTTTCTGAGTACAATTGATTTTAGTTTTCAGCATACAAGGATTAAGAGAGAGAAGGTTTAAAAGAAGATGCAATATCTGTTATTAGACCACTGATTGAGCCTTACAGCCTTGATCCTTGTCTTCTCATTAGATCAGTAGTTTGAAAAGCTCTGGGAAGATCTGTTGACTGTATCTAAGTAGACTGCACAAGTTAATTAAGAAAAACAAGCTTATTGTCAATAGGCTTGTATCTGATACTGGTGGGTCCATCTTCGCTGGAAAATATTAGAATCTGCAAATCAAAAAAAAAAGGGTGAAACCTATGCCTCTAGACACATCAGGACTACAGACACACTATCGGCAAAGGCATAGTCAGTAAAAAAAAATAGGGAGAACATGAGTGTGAAACCAAAGTTGTTGAATGCTTAGTTTTGGATACATGAACATACACAGTAACAGTAAAACTATGGAGTAAACTTATTTCTGTTTGGTAGGATGCTACATTTTATTTTAACAGCATTTTTTGAATTTAACTCCTAAGTTGCTGAACAAAAAACCAGCTGAAGTCCACAGAACTGGATTTCAAATTAATTCCTAGACAACAAAGCATTTAAGAAAGTGCTTGAGTCCCACTAGATTGTATAGGATTAGGAAAGTATCTTTCCTAACTAAAGGTTCCTTCCTCAACATATATTTCAATAAATCTTCAGAAGGAAAGAAGTATCTATTAAAAAATATGGGAAAATTTGCCATGTATTTAGCTAGGAATTATCATCAGTGTCAGGCAGAATATGATTTTCAGAAACTTTGTTTGTAATTAAATGTAAGTGAGGACCAAAGGGAAAACAAGATATGAGTCCATCTGCAAAACCATATTGCAAAAAAAGGTGATGAAGTCCAAGACTGACCTGAGGAAATAAATTATGAAGTAAAAGAATATGGTATGTGTATCTTACCGTTAAAATAAATATAGCTAATGAGGAGAATTTCAGTAAGTGGATCAAGGTTATTTACAAGGTCCTTGATTTTTCCATTGGTTCTTTCTGCTACATATTTGTTGACTTTTTGCTGGGCTTGAGCAGCCTGCTTGAAGTTCATAGGATAAGCTTCTCCTTCATAGAAGTTTCTGAGATCACTTAAAAACTTTTCTTGTGGCTTCAGTCGGTCAAGCACAAACAGAACATTTGCCATATTCAGCTGTAAGCCCTCGTTCTTTCTGTTTACCATTTGCATGAGTTGACGATAACCTTCATGTATGTCATTTTCAGAAATCTCACTTGGGTTAAAGCAAAGGACCCTAAGAATTTGTGTCAGTGTGTCTGATCTGGCACCCAGAGTCAGCATTGCGAAGGCAGTAGAGATGCTCAAAGGAGAGAAGAAAACATTCCGATTGTTTTCGCGAGAAGAAATCTCTTTGTAGAAACAACATGCAAATCGACAGACACTGCTCCTTACACTTTGCCATGGCATGTTTTGGTTTCCTTGGGCTCTTTGATTTTGGTTTCTTACCCCTTGGTGGTTAGGCTCATAGCAATAACTGTTGGAATGAATTCCAATAAGTAAAATACACAGGAAAAACAGTATCTTCATGTTTCCGTGACTCTGTAATAGAAGAAAAATTATGTTTGGCTTACATATTTTTTCACCTTGTGTTTAGCAATATAGCAATACCTTCACTGTACAAAGTTAGCTTAGTACCAATGACTCCAAGACATTGAATTGAGGGGTACCGGCTTTCTATTTAAAAGAAGCAGACTGTGGAAAATTTCTCAACCAACTGAAGAGATTATGAAATAATAAAAATCAAAGTCAAAGAGGGATGAGGTAATACCAAAGACGCCCTCATTAAAGTTAGGCTACAATTCCTTTGAAACTGGTTTTTTCCAGTGTTCTCTTTTCAATGTGGCTTTAAGTGATAAAGAGCTATGAATCAAAAGTGCAGGTCTATAGAGCGCAGAGTAAAAATTTAACTGATGAAAAATCAAAGCAAAAGAAAAGCACAATATTCTTCCATTGTGAAAGTTAAAATATTATACATTTTTGAATGGTCTCCATGTAAACACATATGCAGGCACCAAAGAGAAAGTAAATGCACTTGTTAATAAGGAACTGATGAACATTTACGGTGATTTCATAAAGGCTGAACAATTCAGCACCATTAAAAGAAGCCAATAACAAAAGAGAGAAATAGCAATTAGGATGTTATCAAGACCATGGAAATACGGTGCTGTTTATTAAGAAGGAAAAAATGAGTATGTACATGGACAAACAGCGAATGGAAATAACCATGCCTGCTGCATGCAAAGTCATGTCCAGCCCAGTGACTGAATCAAATCCCCTAAAAATAAAATAAAATAAAATAAAATAAAATAAAATAAAATAAAACAAAATAAAATAAAATAGAGGAATCTAGAACAGTCACAGTCTTTATCATCACAAAAATAGAAAAGGGTGATTAGGCAGAGAAGGCTGCAATGGTTAAAAGTGAAGGTGAATGGCTGAATTCTGGAGGAACAATAACACTAAAACTTATGGACAGGGTAGGAAAACCTTTTCCAGAGCAGCAAGGAAATCATTCATTCCACATCTGTGGCAATACTTTTACCTCTAGAAATTAATACTGTATCACAAGTGGTTCAATAACTTGTGACAACGGAGAGAAGGAAGTAAAGCTGTGGAATATCTGGAAATCCAGAACATCCACTTGTGGTATGTGATCATTTCACCTACAGAATCTTTTAAAAAACAAAGTACTCTCTAGGAGAAAAATACCTTAAGTTTCTGAATTGCACTGAGAAATGCAGACTGCCTTATAAAATCATTGAATCCTAATCAGCTCCCACCATGGCCCCACATTTGTGTTCTCCAATTTTTCCAGCATCTTGTTCTCTAAAACCCAGTGAACTAAGAATGCTGATCTCTGCTTTAATAATGTATGCTCAAAATATCCTTTAATACACAGTCTTTGAATATCATGGTCATAGAAACACTACTATCACTAGGAAGGGCCTGAACCCCATGACAAACCACTTTCAGGCAGTGCATTTTCATACCTAGAACATGTTTCAGTTTAAGCTCTCTGATTTCTTTATGACTTTGTCCACCATCACTCTAATTCTTTTAGCCACATTTTCTTTTTTTTTGAAGCCTCTAGATACTTTAGATCCCAATCCTTAAGTCCCCATTTCCATTTCATTTCATGCGTTACATTTGTTATTATCATCATTTTACTTCATTTAAAACACTTAGGACTGTAGTTTTCCCAAGGAGAGTTATGTCATATAAGCATGCCTATCTCACATAGAACTTATGTTTTTTATTTTAAAAAACAAAAATCATAGTAAAACAGTATGAGAAGCTTTAAAGCGAAATACAATATTTTTTTGATTGATTATTCAAAAACTGTTGTCCTATTGTTATACAGAGAAAAAAAAAAAACATTACTTACAGTAAAGCCAAAAGTGTCCTGTTGTATTCACCAGGTCTGCACGGGTCCTTGCTCAGTTGTTTATGCTGCTGAACACAAAGCAGGGTATCCTCTAGTAAAGGTTAAGATCATCTAAGGGCTATGACTCATGCATTATAATTTTAGAGATTAGTATGATGTCGAAACTAGTTTTACTGGACACTTAACTTTACTGAATATGTTTCACACGTGACTTTTTATTATTCATGACTATCCGATCACCCTGTTAGATTCAAACCCATTTTCCTCAAACTGAAACTGCTGCTTCTTAAGACCAAACATTCATACACATCTCAGTTGCCCCAGTCTATTTTATGAACAAGAGATTTCTAGTGACTATAGTATTGCTGCCACTAAGGCAGGAGAACAAGGCTTGATGTACCAGGACAGTCTGAATTTTTGTGACCTAGCTTGCTTTGTCTCCTCTGTATCTGTGGCTGGGATTGATTGTCTCCAGGTGAAGCCAGTGATGATTCTAAGAGGTGCAGGGCTTAAAACACTGTTTTGCTGTATTAGCAAGTGCTGCTGTATGTGTACCTGACTATCCACTCCCAGACGGGGAATCCACTGGCAGTAAGAGCTGTGATATTGACTCCTGGGCCACTCATATGGCCCTGTGCCCAGAGAAGAGGAATGTGGCTGGGATGCCATTGAATGCAGGTGATCCCAGTTACAAGCATGGCCTGGGGACAGGGGGTGGAAGCCTAAGAACATGGGTGTTAAATAGAGCAAGTCTTTAGATCAGCTTACTATCTTGTGATCTAGGATGTGGGGAGCAGTCCCCTCTGATCCTGTGCCAAGTTCAGCTGGGTCAAAGCAGACAGCAGACATCCTGTGCTCAGGTGTACTCCTGGGTGCAGAATGACAGAAGCATTGAAGAAGGGAACTCTAAAGACCACATAGTTCAACCCTATGTTCAAAGCAGGGTCATTTGAAGAGAGTTGCTCAGGATGGTGTCCAGCTGGGTTTTGCTTTCCTCCAACAATGGAGACTCCACAATCTCTCTGTGTTTCAGTGTTTGACAACACTGACACTGAAACAAGTTTTCTCTACATTTAAATGGAACTTTGATTATTTTAATTTGTGCTCACTGCCCCTTGTCCTGTCACTAGATCCCACTGAGCACAGGCTATCTCTTACTTTACCTATCAAAAATCATGTCTTTATACACACTGTTAAGATTTACACAGGTCTTTTATTATCTGGGCTAAACATTTCCAGCTCTCTCAGCCTGTCCTCATATGTCAGATGCTGCAATTTTTCAGTCACCATTGTGTCACTTTACTGGAGTCACTCCAGTATATCCATGTCCTTCTTGCATTGTGGAGCCTAGCACAGGATGCAGGACTCCAGATCAGTATACCAGGAATGAGTAGAGAGGAAGGATCACTTACCTTGACCTGGTAGCAATGCACTTAATGCAGGTTAATACATGGAATTACAGAATCATAGAAAATGGAATGATTTTGGTTGGTAGGAACCTTAAAGATCATCAAGTTCCAACCCTCTTGCCATGGACAGGGCCACCTTCCACTAGACCAGGTTACTGAAGGCCTCATCCAACCTGGCCTTGAACACTTCCAGGGATGGGGCATTCACAACTTCTCTGGACAACCTGTTCCAGTGTCTGACTACCCTCATAATGAAGAATTTCTTCCTTATATCTAATATAAATCTACTCTCTTTCTGTTTGAAGTCTAGATACATCACTACATGTCCTTGTAAAAAGTCCCTCTCCAGGTCTCCTGTAGGACCCTTTTAGGTACTAGAAGTCCACAATAAGGTCACCCCAGACCCTCATTTTCCCCAGGCTGAACAACCCCTGATACCAGGGGTTGCCTCGACCCAGTGCAGCACCTTGCAATTGGCCTTGTTGGATCTCACGAGTTTCCCATGGGCCCACTTCTGAAGCTTATTCAGGTGCTTTGGGATGTCATCTGTGCTTCAGGTGTGGCAACTACACTACTCAGCTTGGTGTCATTGTCTGCATTTCCTGCAAGATCTTACTGCTGGCTCACGGTCAACTTGATGTCCATCAGGAGCCTCAGATTCCCAAGCACAGCATCTCACTTTCTAAAACCAGGGTAATATTTTCTCTCATTTTCCCTTCAAAACATAAACATTTTTGGCGAGGGATCAACCTTTACTATACACAAAAGAGAGTGCTGATCTCAGTGCTGTTTCTAAAGACAACTGAAACACTAACCACAACAGTAACTCAGCAGCATTTTGTGTGAGACAAAGATGCAAGTAGTGAAAGTCGTTGGTGATTACAACCTACCATGCAACTCAACAGATTGCAAAAAACCCCTCTTAAACAAGTTGCTTATGAGGTAAAACTTGAGAAATAGAAGGCTTTGAGGCAGGATGCTGGACTTGCACATAGTACATTCTTCACACACACCACTCATCTGAAGGAATACTCGAGATACACTTTTCACTGCTTCTTGTATAAATAAGAGCCAAGAATCTCGCTTAGAGCTAACTTTTAATAATGGGCTGTAGTTTTCATGGTATATAAAAACTGATTTCTGATGAAGGAAGGAAGCCCAATTAAATACAGACGCCATGCTAATGACAAGGTGAAGGATGAATGACTAAGACAGATTTGAACACACCTAGACCACACCTCAGCACACTTGCAGGAGAAAGCCTATTGCTGAACATGGAAAAGCCAGCCCTATGATTGGAAAGAAAGTAGAGAAAATCAATTCAGGATCAATTTCTACGTGAATCTCTAGAGACTAATATTAAAGAAAGTCCAAATTTTTCTTTCATGTGTTACCAGTATGACAGAAAGGAAGGTGAAGGAAAGGGTAACAGGCCTAGACACAGATGTATAATTTCTGCATTTGATGAAAAATATTCAACAAACATAAACAATGATTTATATCATAAGCAGAATACTGATTTACAAATAATTCAGCCACTTTGTTCAGTTTTAAAGATTGGGATATTCCAGAGCAATGTTGCATACATTGAAGATATGATATGGTAGTGAACAAAAAATTTCCTCACCTACACTGGGGACTTTTCTAAAAGTTCCCACAGCTCTTACACAGTTAGCACTGAATTGTTTATAGGTATTTAGGCCTCAGATGCAAAATTTAATGTAAATACATCTACTTTAGGCAAAGAG